TGTGCTGCCTGCCTGGGCTCACCCCGATGTGCCCGTCAGAGCTAGGAGCAGATAGCATAGAGCCAGCTACCCTACTTTGGTCAGCAAAGGAATCCCTGGCATTTTCAGAAGCACAACATAGCTAGAAGTTGGACAAAGGGTTTGTCTTGTAGGTGCATAAGAACTTGACTAAACTACACAACGCTTTCCTGTAATTTTTTATTTTTTAAAGGAAGATGCTGGACACTTGTGGTGATGCAGAGAATAAACTGGCAGTAGAGCTTTCTCACCATGAGGTACAGATTGAAAAAGACGTTTTAGAGCCACTAAACCAGCTAACAGAGGTAAGTCACTTCAGCATGCTCTAAGAACACGTACTGCATGATATTTTCTGAGCAAAATCATAACTGCACGCCGCAGTCTTCACTTCTATTTTAAAAAGGTAATCTTTTATTTGTATTTAATGCAGGATTGTGTTATTTTAAGGGTTACAAACTTCAGTTACACATAACTGCATGACGCAGTTCTAAAGTAAATATAAACATTAGATGTCTGTGGTTTCAGACAGAAATCCCCAATGTTCAGAAGCAGAGGAAACAGCTTGCAAAGTTGGTTTTGGACTGGGATTCTGCAAGAGCTAGGTAAGAAGGTATTTCAAACACCATTCAGTTTGTTTAGTACATGTTCAATTCTTCTCCGTGCCTGACCTCGCTCTGATATTTGCTTCTAACGGGATGTAGTGTGCATGTTAACATTTACAGAAAAAAATCAATTAAGTTTAAATGGTACAAGAGAATACATGGGCTTTCTGATATTAATATGGGCCAAATTTAGATCTCTCGTATTGTGAGCCACAGGTTTAGGTAGAGAAGCTGTGAATACAAGAGTGCACCTTTTGTCTACTTCACTTAATTCAATAATTTAATGAGACCAACAAATGTCAAAATCTTATGCTGCATGATATTGAGAAGCATTCCTTGGGGCAGCAAAGCTTATACTGCTTGTTAGATGAATTCGATCAGGAGGTGACTAGAACTTTTACAAAATCCTTTCAGTGTTGTATACTTGGCACCATCTGCTTGTGAATACCAGATTGAGGACTAGGCATCGTTATCGTTTTGGCCATAGGATTTTAATTGTTGCCCTGTTGGAGTGCTTTCGTAATGTTATCGAGTGATTTTTCTCAGGACACTGCCCAACTTAAACGTCAGAGCTCTGTACATCCTGGCTTACTGACCCTGTTATGGATAAATGCCATCTTGATTAAGGAAATGTGGCCTGCAGATATTAAATCACACTCCTTTCTCTGAACTGCCTGGGGTGTTTGGTAGGACTGTTGGTCTTTGCAGAGGCCACATCCATGTTGGAGATGAGTGGCTGCAGGACCCATGCTATCATTGAGTGACGCGTTAGATTGACTTTGCCACCCTGTGTGTCTTCTACAAGACACTAGCATGTTTCACACAAATGACACAGGAGGGGATTTTATTGGGACCTAGATTTGAAACTACTTCTTGTAGCAGTAAATAGATTGTCTGCTTACCACAGGTAAGCAGTTAAGAAGAGGGGACCTGAAAGACTTTGGTTTTTGTAAGTAAGGCATTAAGCGCTGACTGTGTGTCTCTTATACAGATACAGCCAAGCTTGCAAGACCTCGGGGACTAACTTTCAAATGCATCCATCCAAAATAGATTCCCTTAAGGAAGAGATGGATGAGGCTGGAAATAAAGTAGAACAATGCAAGGTAAGGCTGGCTCTGTGAATCCTCTCCTTGGCTAGATCTGCCACTAAGGGCACATCTGTGGATGACTTTGTACACCTTTGTGGCACCAGTTGTAATTACTACCACCATGTCAAACTTCAGTGGGCTGTTAAGCACTCCAAAACAATGTGCCATTAATAAGGAATACCTAGGCTAATCAGCAATACAAAGACTGGCTGGATTGACCATTCTCCTTTAGCTGTTTGTTCCTGATTCTGGGATATCTTACTGCTCTCCAAAAGGTCAAGTACTGTTGTCAATCCCAAAAGTAAAAAGGTTGCCCCAAACCTTGCACTGGTTTCTCAATAAAGTGAATATGGTCTTTCTGGTCTACAAACAAGGGAAATAACTGTGAACATCTCACCATTCGGTCTGCACTGAGGTGTCTGATGTGTTTACAGACTCTACACCACAAAAGCCGTTAGGTGCCAAGTAGGAGGATGGATTTTAAGACAATAACCTGAAGATTATGCTCCCAATTTCCTCATAACCTATCCCTCAGGTATCCAAACCCCATACTGGCGATTCTTCACTGGGCTTTGTTCTGCCTTTCTTTACTTTCAAGCTGAGTAACAAAACAGTCAAGAACTGTTGCATCTCGCTACTGTGGAGTTTGGGCAGGAATGTCTTTGAGAAGTAATGAGTTTTATAACTAAATCTGTAGGTATTTCTACCATGTCCTGCTAAAATAACCAAGCACAAATCCTAGTTAGGGGCATCTTGACTTGCTTTAGTAAATAAAAATAGAAAGTAAAATCCAAAAATGCTTGGATAAAAATGGACCAAGGTGCCATTTGAATGGCTAAACTTACTTGTTTAAAGGGCTGATACTGTCAGTATTGTTGCTGCCTGATGATCTATCTATACTAAGGTTTCATAGTGCAGACCTTTGATTTGTCCTGGGTAGCTGGGCAGAAGTGTGGATTTTTGAAGGGTATTCCTAAGACTGCCTTTTTCCTCTCAGCCCTCCCAAAGGGAAACATGTCAGGCTGAAGCACTGAGCTGTAGCTGCCATTGCTGCTTATCCCAGGCGTCCCCTTGATAGCCTGCAACTGATCAGTGTGCTGTGGCCTGGGATGTTAAATATCGGTTAATTGAATAGTCGATTAATCTCATGACTAATCAATAAGAATTCAACTGTTCGATAGTCCCCAGGCCCCACTCCCAAGAAGCCCCCTGCCACTGCGCAGCATGGGAGTTGATCCACAAGGGGAGCCAGTTTTAAAAACTGATAGGCAGCAGTGCAGGATGGCACCAGCCCCTGCCTTGGGTGGGGGGGTTTGAGCTCCTGGACCCAGCATGAGCTGCAACAGGAACCAGGCGGGCGGGCAGGCAGCCTGGCTCTAATACACTTTAAATGCAGAGCTGCAGCAGGGGGAGGTCCTAGACACCGCGTGAGCCAGGACTGAGCCGGACTGCTGGCAGCCTGCTTAAAAAATGCTCTGGTGGGGGGAGGAAATGCAGGTAGCTTTTGCTTCTTGGTTAAGTGACTCCACTGTTACATCCCTGCTGTGGGCAAGTGACTAGTTAACTCCTGGAGAGTCAGCGGTTTGGGCTTAGCAAGGGAATATTATGTAATATGAATCAGGGACAGGTAGACCTGGAAGGGATCTTGATAGGTCATCTAGTGCAGACCTCTGCCCTGAGGGAGGACCAAGAAATATTTAGACCAGTGGGCAACCTGCAGCGTGTGGGCTCCGTGCAGCCCATTGGGGTTCTACGTGCGCATTTGGGAAGCCAGCAGAATCTGGCCACCTGTCTGTGTAGTGTGTCCCTTACTGGTATTACTACAGTGACATGCACGAGGCCAGGGTATGTGAAGTAAGACGTGTGCTGACTGCACACAACACTGACTGAGCTGGGTAGTCCCTCTGCAGCCCATCACACACATTCTAGGGAAACACATGCAGTTAGCAAAACTCACCTATCCCAGGAGACTCTCTAGGTTCTAACAATCTTGCGGCCCACTGAGATGGAGGGCCACTCATGCCCACTCAACAGCCTAGCTTGTCCATCTCTGACAGGTATTTTCTGATCTTTTCTTAAAAACCTTCAGTGACAGATTCCACAACTTCCCCCAGTAACTTGCTGCAGTGCTCAATTACCTTGGGAGTTAGGAAGATTTTCCTAATCATTACCTTAAACCGCCATAGCTGCGGTTTAAGCCCATTACTCCTTGTACTGTCCTCTAGGTTAAGGAGAACAACTTGATCACCCTCTTCTTTATAACAACCCATTATGCACTTAGACTTATGTGCCTCCACAGTCTTCCCTTCTCCAGACTAAATGCTAAGAACAGCCATAGTGGGTCAGACCAAAGGTTCATCTAGCCTAGTATCCTGTCTGCCAACAGTAGCCAATACCAGGTGCCCCAGAGGGAAGGGAACACAACAGGTAATCCTCATGTGATTTTTGGGCCCCTCCCCCCCACCTCCAGAGAAACAGAGGCTAGGGATACCATTTCGACCCATCCTGGCTAATAGCCATTGATGGACCCTAACCTCCATGAATGTATCTAGCTCTTTTTTGAACCCTGGTAAAGTTCTAGCCTTCTCCACATCCTCTGGCAAGGAGTTCCACAGGTTGACTGTGCGCTGAGTGAAGATAAACTTCCTTTTGTTTGTTTTAAACCTGCTACTTATTAATTTCATTTGGTGACCCCTAGTTCTTTTGTTCTGGGTATAAGTACATAACTTTTCCTTATTCACTTTTTCCGTACCAGTCATGAGTTTATACACCTCTATCCTATCCCCCCACCCCTTAGTCTTCTCTTTTCCAAGCTGAGAAGTCCCCGTCTTTTTAATCTCTCTTCATATGGGACCCTTTCCAAATCCCTAATCATTTTTGTTGCCCTTTTCTGAACCTTTTCCAATGCCAATATATCTCTTTTTGAGATGAGGTGACCACATGTCTACATCTAGTTTAATTTTCCCTCATAGATCATGTTTTTAGATCTTCAGTCATTTTTGCTGCCACTAGACTTGGTCCACATCTTTCCAAAGTGTGATGCTGAGAACTGGCCATGATATTCCAGGTGAAGCTTCTCAGTACTAGGTTGAGTGGCAGAAATACTTGTACAAGCAGTCCCCGGGTTACGTACAAGATAGGGACTGTAGGTTTGTTCTTAAGTTGAATCTGTATGTAAGTCAGAACTGGCATCCAGATTCAGCCACGGTTGAAACTGATCAGTTTCAGCAGCGGCTGGAGCCAGCTCCTGCTTTCATTTGAATCTGGATGCCAGTTCTGACTTACATACAGATTCAACTTAAGAAACCCAGGCGTCCCCAAGTCAGCTGCTGCTGAAACTGATCAGCAGACCAGGGGGACAGGAGCAAAGCCTTGGAACACGCCCGCTGTGGGCATGCTCCAAGGCTTTGCTCCCTGTCTCCCTGCAGACCAGGGAGACGGGGAGCAATGTCGCAGAACACGCCCGCAGCGGAACAGCCCGGGCGCGCTTGGGCTGTCCCCCTGCGGGCGTGCTCAGCGGCTTTGCTCTCCGTCTCCCTGGTCTGTAGGGAGACGGGGGGCCCCAGCCTCGGGCACACCCGCAGCGGGACAGGCCAGCCGTGGCCCGGCTGCTC